TACACATGGCAGTTTATTGTTGTTAGTGATGCAGGGTGGCTGCCAACATCTTCTGGACAGCAGATAACTCTTTGTTACTACCACGGGAATTGTGGGCTGGTGCACTGTCCCCTGCACTGTGATTCAGGGAAGCCCTGAACATACCCATCATTTTATATGTAATGGGAATTGAGGGAGAAGAGAAGGGGAAAGTGCATTAGGTTAAACAAAACAAATCCACTTCTTCCTGAAACAAAAGTTGGAACAGTTTGCGCTAGAGAAGCAAGATACCTTCATGCCCTCACCCAAGAAGACAGCCATTTCTCCAAGATTGCCTTTATTTATCAATTGCCAGTGACAATCCCTCAGCACTATCTACACCAATACCATGGCCTTAGTGTGGCTCATCACATGAGCAGAAGCGCAAAGGCTGCTTTAGTGTTCACAACCCAATCCAAACAGAAGCATCTTGCCCAAAAGTGAGAGAGGTCCATGGGCAGGCGCAGTCTTGCACATCTGAAGCCTTGCACATCTGAAGCACATCTGAAGGTTTCCACCACTTGGCACAGCTTGTATACTAAGTTACATCACAATAGCAGCCAACCAGCCCTAGCTGGCTCTAGGCCTAGGGCATAGTAGTCAGGCAGCTCTATAGCCCCCACAGCAGCTTGATGGGCCTCTGCGGGCCGGATATGGCCCATCAAGCGAGTTGATTTGGTCCACCGAGGCCCTGTCGCTCTCCTCCAAACCCAGGCCAATCAGGGCTTGGGGGCGGGGGGAAGCGTGCAAAGTCCCCTCCCACACTCCCCCTGCCCTGCAAGGAGTGTGTGGTGCTTAGAAGTATCACACGCTTCTGGCAGGGCAGGAGAAGACTGTGCTGCCCCCAACCAAAGCTCTGGCCTGGGCGCAAAGAGGGAGCGGGCAAAATCTCCCACCGTGCAAGGTGTGCGGCACTTCTAAGCACTGTACAGTCCTTGCAGGACAGAGCCAGGGTGAGAGGAGACTTCATGTGCTCCCCCAGACCTATCAGGACTTGCGTGCGGGGAACGCGCACAAAGTCTCCTCCTGCCCCGCAAGGGACTCAGCACTTAAAGTCAACTGCCAGCTGCTGCTCAGTTTTTTTAATAGGACCAGTCCCAGTATGAACCCTTGAGGGACACCTCTGGTTACTTCTCCCCATTCTGAAAACTGACCACTTATTCCTACCCTTTGTTTCCTGTCTTAACCACAGGTACCTAGAGGGAACCACCAGCTGTTCCCTCTTTGCATGCTCCCTGACCCCCAAACCAAGGCGTTCCACAGGTTCATTGTGTGAAGAAATACTTCCTTTTGTTTGAAACCTGCTACCTATTAATGCCATTGGGTGATTCCTAGTTCTTATGTTATGGGAACAAGAAAATAACTGTTCCTTATTTTCTTTTTCCATACCAGTATGATTTTAAAGACCTCTAGCATATCTGCCCTTAGTTTTCTCTTTTCTAAGATGAAGTCTTATTAATCTCTCTTCATATGGCAGCTGTTCCAAAACCCTAATCATTTTTTGCCCTTTTTTGAACTTTTTCCAATGACATCTTTTTGAGATGAGGTGACCACATCTGAATGCAGTATTCAAGATGTGGGTGTACTATGAATTTATATAAAGGCAGTATTCTGTCTTATTCTCTATCCTTTTAGTGATTCCTAACATTGTTTGCTTTTTTGACAGCTGCTGAACATTGAGTGGATGATTTCAGAGACTATCTACAACATTAAAATTCATCTGCCATTTTGTTGCCCAGTCACCTAGTTTGGTGAGATACTTTAGAAGTTCCTTTGGATTTAACTGTCTTGAGCTGCTTAGTATCCTCTGCAAGTGGTGCCACCTCACTGTTTACCTCTTTTCTCCAGATCATTTATGGATATGTTGAATAGGACTGGTCCCAGTATGAAGCCTTGCGGGACACCACTAGTTACCTTTCCCCATTCTGAAAACTGACCATTTATTCCTACCCTTTGTTTCCTGTCTTAACCAATTACCAAACCATGAAAGGACTTTCCCTTTTATACCATGAGAACCAGGAAAGCTAGAAACTTTCTTTAAAAAAGCTGATTCACATGAAGCTGCGATCTGGGAGTTAAAAGGAGGAGGGGAGTCATACCAAATATTGCAGGGCTCACTAAAGTCACAGAGCAGCAGCAGTGCCATCTCTAGAGAAAAGGGTTGCATGAGCAGCCAAAGGCAGACAGCAGCAAGTAGCCAGAATCATTTTCTGTCACTGGAAAAAAGATGTCTTCCCCCAGAACAAACTCCTCAGTGCTAAGATCCCAGTAATAAGTTCATCACCCCATCAGCAATAAAGAGTGTGATAGCCCCAGTGGTTGGGGGGAGTAGGGAAGATATTTGCGGTAACAGTTTGTTCCCAGCACTGCAGTCCCAGCCCTACATCAGGATGGTTGCTTTCTGTATAGGTTGGAACACAGACCAAGGGCTCAGCTGCTGGCACTATTAGCTGGCCCATGTGCTAGCTGCACAGAGGAGGGTGAAAGGCTCTGGCACAAGCTCATTACACAGAGGGGGCGAAATCACAGCATGTGGCACTACTGAGAGACTCATAGACTCATAGACTTTAAGGTCAGAAGGGACCATTCTGATCATCTAGTCTGGCCCCCTGCACAGTGCAGGCCACAGAATCTCACCCACCCCTCCTAGAATAATCCTCTCACCTATATCTCAGATATTGAAGCCTTCAAATACTTTGAAGACCCCAAGATGCAGAGAATCCTCCAGCTGTGATCTGTACCCCATGCTACAGAGGAAGGCGAAAAACCTCCAGGGCCTCTGCCAATCTACCCTGGAGGAAAATTCCTTCCCGACCCCAAATATGGCGATCAGCTAAACCCTGAGCATGTGGGCAAGACTCATCAGCCAGACACCCAGAAAGTTCTCTATAGTAACTCCTATCATCCCTCCATTGACCTATTTCCCACTGATAATGAATGGTCAATTAGTTACCAAGATCATGTTATCTCATCAAACCATCCCCTTCATAAACCCATCTAGTTTAATCTTGAAACCAGATAGATCTTTTGCCCTCACTACTTCCCTTGGAAGGCCGTTCCAGAACTTCACTCCTCTAATGGTTAGAAACCTTCGTCTAATCTCAAGTCTAAACTTCCTACTAGCCAGCTTATATCCATTTGTTCTTGTGTCCACATTGGTATTAAACTTAAATAATTCCTCTCCCTCCCTGGGAGAGGGCTGAATGCCAGAGGATTCTTAGAAGAGACAGGGCCCATTTCCTCCCCTGCCAGCAGTGGCCCATGCAGACAGCAGGATAGCTCAGGCTTTACAAGGCAGGTATTCGGTGGAGCTTTCCAACATGGAAAGGGACACCACATAATCTTGCTGTGATGTCTCCATGCCAACTTCCAGAGGGAAACAGCTGCTTGTGTTATTACAAAATATGCCTTTGACCTGTCCCGTCCAACAGTCCATGAGGTATCCAGAGCAACATTAACAGGCCCTTCGGTCAGCTCCAGCAGTGCAGGTCTCTGCCAGCCATAGAGGAGACAGATTGTGGGTAGCAGGAGGAAGTAGACACTGCAGTGGAAGGGCCAGCAGAGCTGTTCAAAAGTGCTCCTTTCAGCCTACCTCTGCTCCCAAAATGGCAACAGCAAACAGCCATGAGAACACTTTTAACTTCCCTTCCATGCAGCTCAGGCCCAGCTCCCATGATCTGGGAAGTTTTCACAGAGTTTGGTCAGAGTCACTGTGGCCCTGGGACATCAGGAATTGAGCACAGGTGGTCATACTCCAAGCCAAACAAAACATGTACAAGTCACTCAGCCTACTACCAGTCAACAGGAAGAATGCTACACCCTAAGCAAGGGAGGAAGGGAATCCACTTGAGATGCTGCATACATGCCACTGCTAGGCAGTCTCTAGGAACCCAGCTGCTTGCTGCAGTATGAGCTGATCAGGGTTCAGGCAATAGTCTGATTGAAGAACAATTTATCACAGGTAACAGCTCTCGGGCATTAACAGATGCAACCCAAGTCACCAACACCAGGGTTGGCTCCCAGCCACACAGGCACACTCACCTGCCACCAACACGAATCCCCACAGATTCAGCAGTCCTAAGACCTGATTGAATTTGAATCTCCTCCAATAGATGGTCAGACATTGCTAGCATTACCAGCACTAACTCTTGACCAGGGAGAGGGTCTGCAGGCCAGCTCTCAACTGGCTACACTGACCCCAACGCAACAAAGTGAGCCTCCTGAAAAGCCTAAGAAGGTGCCAGCTTCTTGAGTGGGGGGCTCTGCCAATGGAAAATGTAAATGCTCCTAGTGCTGCTGCCAACCTACAGCCCTGACCTTCCTGGAACCCTTTCCTGCAGAGTCCCAGGCTGTATGTGAATTCAGTGCGGTGAGCAGGCTTGTGCTTCCTCAAGACGTGAAGGCAGGATGTTGTAAAGTCTGTCCCAAGACAACACAACTATTCCCAGTTTATCCACAGATTTTGTTTCATAGGAACACCAGGTGGCTTCCAGCATGCCCAGCCCCGCAGGCCTCCACTGACTGCACAGGGCACAAGGTGCTGGGAGGAAAAGTCTGGCCCATAGTCCATTTTCTGCACCATGGGTCCATCAATATTCAGCGCACGAGGCAGTTGTCAGAGTGATGTTCTGGCACTGATTACAAACAGACAGGGCCTGGAGCTCAAGCTGACCAATGCCGTGGGGGGACTGGGGGGAGGCGGGGGCACCAAGTGTAAGGAATTTTGGTCCATGTGCCCAGCTAGAGATTATGGGCCCTCCCACTGGGGACCAGAGACACAATCTCCTCCTACTGTTCTCTAAGCTACATGGCCTTAAAGCAGTGTTTTCCAATTTTATTTGGCCACAGAACCCTTTTAAACTCGAAAGAATTTTGCAGAACCCCTAATAACAGTCTAATATATGAAGCTGAAAAAGTAGACCACAAATAAATAAGGATAATAATAAACAAATGCTAAATATGATCATGAGATCAACATGTAGTTTAATTGCACATATTTAAAAACAAAAATCACATAATATTATTATTTTTAAATCATAAAATGTTATTGTAATGGAATTTTCTCATGGAACCCTTATTTTCACTTTACGGAATCTCGGGGTTCCACAGAACACCGTTTGGGAAACACTGCCTTAAAGGAACAAAGGCCCTGCCACCAACTCTCAGCACCTTGTAACCCCTCCCATGCATGGCTGTAAGTAGTGTAGACTGTGAGGCATGCCTTAGGCAGGGAAAAACACACTTGGAGGAATGGGTATGCACTTGAGTACAGTGTTCCCCGTAAACTGTGTGGCTGGACAGTTTCATAGATGACTAATCATTGAGGGCTCAGTGCATGGAGCTGACTGACTGGGCGGGGCCAATTAATCACCTGTTATGCTATGCTGCCACAGCAGCTTAAAGGGAACACTGAGTACAGATGCTACACTGCTCTCCTCACCCAAGCTGTGCCTTCTTATTGACACTGCAGGTTTTAGCATGGTCATATCCTGCTGCTAGAGCCCCCCTTCCACAGCAGGACAAGTCCTCAGCAGCAAGGAAAGGCTCTGCCTCTCCTATCACTGACATATGTAGCTACACCCAGTAGTGTGGTGTAGCATAGCTGCAGCCTAAGAAACTCCATCCTCATCAGATTGCCTTTCCATCTGCCTGTTTTGTAACTACAGTGGTTAGGAGTCACACGAGAGCTGGCTGGAGCCTGGGTAGGGATGGGAAGGGAAGCTCTCCTAGTCCATTTCCCTGTGTTTGCCAGATTTCTGGAAAGGAGCAGCTGTACTGACAGGCCCAGATGCTCACCAGCAACTGCATAAGCCAAACACTATAGGAAGGATGAGTGCAGGATAGGTGGGTTCTGCTGTGGCTTGTGGAGCTACTCACAGGGACTTGAACAGAAGCAGGGCACTAGAGTCCCTGGTAATGAGAGGGATTTAGAACAAGCAGCAGGCCTTGAACCAGAATCAGAGTGACTCCCTGGGTGTTAATGTTGGCCACACCACTTTATAGCCCAGCGGAAAGATCTGACTGATCCAATCCCACCGAACCTTAGCCAGCAGCCTTCCTCAGCACACACACACTAGTGCCCAGCCGTGAACAATGCATGGGAGACGCAGCATCATCACTCTAGTGATTCTTAAGAAAATATGATTTTATAGGTATTAAAACCCCAAGGTGACTGCCCAAGGGCTCTGGGCCCTGTGAAGCAAAAAACCTGTACTTTCCCACAGCTATTTCCCTCAGAAACAAGGGCTCCCTTCTCTGCTGTGCTGGAGGGCTTGGAGACTAGGTAGCACTATAACATCAGAGAACATGAGCTATAGCCCTTGGGGAAAAGAAGGAACTGGTGCAGAACTCAAGGCTTTTCTAGACACTCTAGGTGAAAGAGATCTGTGCAAGGCCTCCCACAGCAGGCAGAAGCCATACCCCACTCCTAGTTTCTTGCTCTTTCAAGGAGGCCTCCAGCAGGAACAGGAGAGAGCAGACTATTTCTATAGATAATAGGGATGTAAGCGACTAGTTGTGCTTATTGGGTATTCGAGTAGTGACTCAACTAGTTGCTTCCCCCCTCCCACTGCCTCTATCAGAGAGAGACAGCAAGGGAGGAGGGGGAGAGAAGCAGGAGCCGATGCTGGGAGGAGCCAGCTTAAAAGCCAGTTCCCCCTAGCACCATCTCTGCAGAGAGGCAGAGGTGCAGCCGGCAAAGGGCATGAGCGGGAAGTGAAACAGTCCCTGCTCCAGCCCTAGGGACTGCTGTGCTTCTTCCTTTGAAATGTACAAGAGCTGTGGGCAGCTCTTGTATATTTCAAAGGCAGTGGCGCAGCGGGATAGCGAGTGCCCCCCTTATCAACTAATCCATGGAAGTGCCATCCACTACATGATTAGTTGATTAATCCAAATTTAACATCCCTAATAGATAACAGACAGACAAAGCATAAAGACCCCAAAGGCTTTTTTAAACATCCCAAGGCAGAAAGAAGGGCCCAGCTCAAACAGCCCATCCCCCTCTTTCCCAAGCAGGGTATGTTGGGGAGGTGGCTTCAACACATTTTTAGAACACCTTCAAAACTAAAATCAAGAATCCAGGCTGCAGCTAGCAGCCAGCACAGCACAATGCAACAAGCTGGGGCATCTCTGCAAAACAGAGCTGAGACTCGGAGAAGCATGCAGTGTGACAGACAGCAGGTTCTGGCATGGCACCAGTTCCCAACTGAGAGGGGGATTAAAAGAAGCATCTTCTCTGAACTATCTTAGCCCCTGTCTAAGGGAGGAATGGTTTCATCACAGGAAACCACGCACTACATAAAGTCAACATTGCCTGATGGGCCTCTGGCTGGAAGGGGCAGTGGACAGCATTACTGAGATATGGCACTACCATGTGGCAGGTATGCTGGCACCAGTGCAGTGCCCTTGTCTCATTCGTGTTCCATTTCTGCATGGCTCCATGTGAAAATCCACATCCTTTCTTCCCACAGCCAAAACAGTGACTCTGGCAGGCTCTCAGCCCTTTTCCCCCTCCTTCCCCCACCTTTCCTCCTCGCCCCCAGAATCACACACTCTGGTTAAAAAAAAGCCTGAGAAGGTGCTACATAAAAGCAGTGGCTCCAGGTTCCAGCTTATGTGGCCAGAGCAGACTGAGCAGAGCCCAGCTGGTGCTATAGGCTAAAAGCTGACTCAGCCAATCCAGGATTCATCTTGGTGGACAGAGCTCACCTATGTCTCTGCTTGGGGGCCACACAGCCCCAATTCTGCTACCAGTCCTTGGAATCCAGCCCAGGAGGCAGCTGCCATTGGGTGTGGTCACTGGGCCAGTCCTGTCCCCATGATTCATCTCCAGGCAGTCCAGTTACAGCCTCTGTTCTCTCACCCAGGTACAAAGGTCAGGCTCTCTGGAACAGCTGCATTGTCAATTCACTACCAGCGTGTTGTCCTGCAGCGGAGCCCTGCAAAGGGACCAGAGGAAACAGAGTGAGTGCTACAGCCCCAGCTCCAACTCTGGATTCATGTGCCAGAGGCCTGGGGCAACTCCTTTGCCTCAGGCCCCACCCCTTCCCACTCCTGCTCCAACCCCACCTCTCTTGTACCCGTTCTCTGAAGGCTCCTCCCCTGAGCTATTCGACCTATGAGTTTGCTGGGGAAGGGTGGTACAGGGTAGTAGTAGGGCTTGGGGTATGCCCCTCCATACTACCACAGAGATGGGAGCTATAGGAAGCAGAGTGATGCACACAGCAGCCTGCACCGCTTTGCTGTCCATCTCTCAGTGAGGTTGCTCTGCTTCACCATCCCTGCTGCTGTCCCACATCAGGCCCTTTCCCCCCCTCCAGGGTGCTTGGGCCCCAGTCTACCATGAATATGGGGGCTCAACCCATCCATAGGATGTTTGGGGCAGCCTCTGCAGGGCCCCTGAAAGTTTCCAGAAATAGTGACTCCAACATCTTTTTCTTGAATGGTAACAGCTAATTTAGAACTCATTATTAGACAGGTGTAGTTGCTACTATTTTTTCCAGACTATTACTTTGGATTTATCTATCTTGAATAATGCTGTACGATCTGCAAACTTTGCCATTTCTCTGTTCAATGTCTTTTCCAGATCGTTAGGGAATAGGATGAGCATCACAGGAGCCTTGGGAGACTCCATTGTTTAACTCTCTCCATTCTGAAAAATGACCATTTAATTTCCACTCTTGGCTTCTTATTTAAACAGTGATTGGTCCATGAGGGCTCCTACCCTGTTATCCAGTAGTGACTTAGATCCCAAAACGGCCTTTGGTGGGATCTTGTTGTTCTGAAAATCCAAGTATACGATTCACTGGCTTGCTGTTACCCACGTCTGCTGACCTTTCAGTCATGCCTCACTATTTACAACCACCACCTTGATTCTTCCTCAATCTCTTCCACCATGTTTCTCTGTGTGTCTGATCTGTTCTTTACCACTGTTTCTACCATCTTGCCCAAGACCAAAGTTAGATTTACTGGCCAAGATCACTTCTGGAGCCTTTTTTTTTTTTTTTTAAAATAAAGAAAATCAGTGTTACATTAGCTACCTTTCAACCCTCTGGCAGGCAGGCTTGTTTCAGTGACACATTAGAAACACTGCCATTTCATATTTCAGTTCCTGGGGGAACACCAGCTGGTCCTGATAACTTACGAGCAACATGCTCCAAAGCCCCTTCTATTGCCTATGGTATAATGTGCATTTCACTTTCTGTTTAGCACACAGGAATCATTCCCTGCCCCCCACAACTCCAATGCCACCCCCAGCTCTGAGCCTAGAGAGTTCCTGGAACAGGATGAGAGCCAAGTGGTTCTGCCTGCGCTGTCCCCAGAGCCTGCTGGGCCCAACCCAAGAGCAGTTTGGTTCCTGCTCTGCATACGTACTGCTCGCAGCAGCAGAAGACCGAGCACAAGGAGCTGCTCTGACGGCGGAACTTGCCAGATCTTGGGCTGTCTTTGCACTCGGCAATGTACATGTGGAGCTGAGTGATGGGCACATCATCCTCACACTGGTGCTGGAGAAATGAACAGAGAGGAGTCAGCATGCTGCCTTCCCACCAAGCTTGGCCTGATAACCTTCCCCAGCAGCTCCTAATTCCTTGGGGACACTAGGAGGGGGAGCCAAGCAATGTGGCCTCCAATCTTTTCCATCCATTTTTCTAAGTGCACTGAGACATGTACAAACATGCACCACCAGTAGAAACACAAAATACCTAGCTGTGGGCGCTCTGCTAAGCAGCTGGGTGGCATTGGAATCTCTCCTGAGCAGCCACACAAGTGCCCAACTTTCAGGGAACACTGGAGCCAATCCAGGACATTCCTGGTTCTGAGGGCTAGTGTGGGCATGCTGGAGACTTGACCATGGCCTAGCTGAGACTCTGATGATCTTAACAGAGGCCAAGGATCCAATGGGCCAGAGACAGTCCGGCTCCCCACGTCCTGCTGCAGCCAAGGGAAAGCTTGTCCTCAAGGCAAGTTCCAGGGACCGCAGGAGTTCCACAGAACTGAAAAGAAGGCCACAGCTTCCCCAGAGACGACTTCCCTACTCAATCCCCATAAAGGCAGGCTCCAGGGCCCTCACACCCATTCTTCACAGTCCTCAGGAGGACTGGCAGTATCAGGGCAATGGCAGCACTGCCAGACATGCCAGTGTTGGAGGGACCAACACTCAGAAATGCCACTTTGGAGTCATGCTGGGAATGGGCAGCCTCAGGCACACAAGTGTATATGGTCTCAAGCAAAACTGTCTCCAAAGCATGTCCCCAGGGGAAGCTTGCCAGCTGCAGCCAAGCACTTCACATCCCAGCTTTCCATGCTCCACCCCAAGATGGAGATGGCTGAGGGAACCTGAGACAAGGCCCAGTTCATGCAGGTTGCACATGGCTTTTGGACTCCAACACTGCAGCCCTGTGAAGGCAGCACTCCCTGACTGACCTTGATGGTCTCATAGGAGCCAGTGATGAGTGCAATGAAGAGGCTGAGAACCATGTAGATGAAGAGGCTGATGAAGGTGTAGAGGTACAGCTGGCTGAAGAGCCACACAAGGTAGCTGTTCTGTTGCATCTCGGCAAAGGTCACAAACATGTCATCCCCATTGATGAGGGAGAAGAGGCACTCGGACACCATGGAGAGGGAGCGGAACTGCACATGGGGCACAGAAAGCCAAACCCCTGAGTACTGGTATGGCCAGGTAGACCTTGGAGCACCACTGGGCTCAATAGCAGCAGAGCTACCACCATGATAGATCTTCCCCTTCACAGTAAAGGGCCCTATTTTCTATGTGGCCATTAGCCCTGCTTCCCCAGGTGGGTGTAGAGAAAGGAAGGGACTGGCAGCAGCAGACCCTTGAGGAATCCCAGTTTCTGCTTGCTTCACTTTCTTCTGCCCCTCACCTCACCTGCCTGACCAGGAGCATAGGCTCTGGCAGACCCAAGCCAGGACAAGCCAAACCACTGGCCAGAAGTTCTGTTGCAGCAGCCTCATCTGTCTCAGGACCTATGTTACACTAAACAGTGCAACAGAGAGGGGGATTCCTCATTGCTGCTACCCACTGCACAAGGAGAGGTTGATTCCAGCTGGGTGTTGGAGGAAGGATTGCTGTGTTCCCTGTAGTTTGTTTCTACTGGAACTTGGAGGGGGTAGCTGCCATATTATCGGGCAGGGAGAGATGCAGGGCTGAGTTACTACCAGCACAGCGGGAGACTCCAAGCCCCCAGCCCTAGCTGCACTCCAAGCCACAGAAATCCCAGAGCTTTGGAATTCCACCCAAGAAAAGGTACATCTCCACAGCCCCAACACACACAGATCTGCCCCCCCACATGGTACAGCTCCCTTCCCAATGTAAGCAGATCTAGACTCCTCCCCGCCATCTCCAAAATATGGAGCAGTCTCCCCATGCCTCTAGCCACACAGATTGATGCCCACCCGCAGAATGGTAGTGTTCTCCCCAACACTCCCCACTGTAGACCTGGTCTCTCCAATCAACCCCAATATAGCATAGTGCCCCGTGGTACCTTGACATGGTATGGCCCCAGAACAATCCATCCACAGAAGCAGTAGCCTAGGTAAATAACAGCCACACAGCAGCAGAAGCGGATCACGTTGGGGAGGGCGACCCTCATGGTCACAATGAGAATCTATGGGAAGACAGATACAATTGTAAAACACTAATAGTACAAGAACTCTCCCCCAGAGTCAGCAGGAGATGCTATGCATAGCTGGGGAGACCCTAGTATATGCAGATACAGGAGCTGCTCCTAGGAATAAGTGGGACATGTCAACCCAGGGAAGGAGGGGTATTAAGGTGGCCAAGGAAGAGAAGCAGGTACAATAGCATAATATAACAGAGCAATGAAACTGAGTATCAGGGCGAGAGATCAGGGGGCAGAATGGTTCTCCAAGGGAGTGTTTGGGGCCCTGTTCTTTTGGAGCATGCGTTGAGTGGACAGATCATTAGCTAGCTTCCACTAGATTCAACTTGTGTGCTGTGAACAGGACTGGCATAGTGGGAGATTGTGGGTCAGCACTGTGGGACATTGGCAAGACTGGGGGAGAGGCAAATCTCATCTGGAATAACCGGAGCATGGCTGCAGGTCAGCATTGCAGCGCAAAGTCTGCGCAGGCCTCTATTTTGAGCTGAGTACAGGAAGGATTGTTTCACTCTCGCTATGTGCTGCATGCAGTATCACTCACATTGTATTTCTGGAAGAAGGTGAGGTAGCGGATAACGCCAACCCAGACCAGGAGCGTGGAGGTGCCCAGGAGGATGCTGCACACATCATAGCTGGCCAAGTTCTACAGACAGAAAGACATGGTAGGCGCTTCACAGCAAACATGGGCCTCCTTCATTAACATAAGCTGCAGTGATTAGTGTACCAGACTACCTGCCACTTACCATCATCCTACCCAGGATTGTGGTGAGTTCTCCATCACTGGAAAGTCTTAATTCAAGACTTTTTCAAAGGGCTCTGCTGGGGAAATTTCTGGCCTGTGTCAGACCAGATGATCACAATGGTCCTTTCTCCATTTGGAATCTGTGAATCCGTTACAGTCATGGGAGCAGAAACCAGGGGGTAGGGAGGTCCAAGGAGCAGCAATACAAGACACTGAGGGCAGCATACAGCCTGTTACATGCGTTTGGAAAATGATGGATTGGAAGAGGGCTCCATCAGCAAATGCCTTGCAGCATCTGGTGCGGAGAGGAGACAGTCCTGCACGGGGCAGCTCAAGCAACAGGACCCAGCCAGAGGGGAAAGAAGGACGCTGAAGATTCCCAAGCCTGGCTCCAGGACAACAGAAGCAACCTGTCAGTCCTAATCAAGGCAGGGGTCTCCTTTGCAGTGGGCCAAGGGCCAGGATGCATTGGGTTTAGGATCAGGACAGGGCTGGCTAGTATATCTGGCGTGGTTTCACAAGGCAAAGGAAAGAGCCATTCAGTCCTTTTAAAACTGAACAAAGACCTGGCACGAGGACCTAGTGTCCATTATGTGAAACAGCAGAACATTTTCCTCCTCTCATCTTCTGCTGTCCCTACTACTCGTTATGCAGCATAGCTGCCCTTCTCCCCAGTCCCCTTTGCTTTTCCTAGTAGCTGTAATGCAGCTGTAGTACAGCAGCCCCTATTCCCCCCCCGCCCCCCACTCCCATTTTAGCCTCTGCAGTCTCTAGTGGCCAGAAAGCAGTATAGCTGCCCCTAGTGTTGGGTCCCCTACACCTGTTGTTATGGTCTTGGGAGAGGAGAGATCATCATGCAGGGTTCAGTACAGATCTATAAAGACCACAGTCATGCTCAGTAGCCCTGATCATTCCCTCACTCCAAAGAATGGGGCGAGTATGGGCCACCCAGTCTCAGAAGGGGTCCTTCCCTGTCCATTTTCCAAGGCAAATGGTGCAAGCTCCATAGCAGGCTATTGAGCCCACAGGATTATTGCACTTCTCTTACAACAGCTCTGATCTAGGAGAGAACATGACCCAAAGGCAGGGTGTTTAGCATTTCCACCTAGGCTTGGAGTTCCATGCCCAGCACTGGATGTTTTTCTAAGGGCTCTGCTCTGGGGAAATTCTCCGGCTTGTGTCAGACCAGATGATCACAATGGTCCCTTCTTTCCTTGGAATCTATGAATTCATTACAGCCTCCCTGGTTTGTGAGATGCTAGGGAGCTGGTTCCTCTACTTTCTCAGTGTAGATCCCCTCAAGCTGCCGCTATTAACAGCTGGGCGGCAGGGGGCGGGGAGGAGGGGTAGAAGAAAATGGTCCATTCCCAGGGAATCAGCAACTCCCTTTCCTCTTCTGGCCAAGGAGGAATCCAAGGGCCACAGCCACAAGAGAACAGCAACCACCTGCTGGGAGCAAAGGTCTGGCCTTGCAGGAACCATGCACACCTCTGCCAGTACTGCTGCCCTGGCATTAATTCCAGGGTGGAAAGAGGAGAGGTTTTGCCAGAGATTCTCTGGGAGGATTCCCCAGCACAGTCCCATGGGGGAAAGGGGACACATGGGAATGAATGCCTAGTCATCCCCTCACCTTTGACTCAATTCCAATTTTCATGATGGTCCCGGACACTGTCAAGACATCACTCACAACCAGCAGGATGTACCAGCCATTCACAAACTCCATGCGGTCTGACAGGCAGACGTCCTGGTTGTAGCGTCTCTGAAAGAAATGGCCCAACTCCTGCAAGCAGAATGGAAAGAGGTAACAGAACTGCCACAAGGACACAGCTGCTGAGGCAGGGGGCTGAGGCAGACTCCCCAAGGATATCTGATTTGGAAAATGGCTGCTAGGCAGAGAAGCCTCTAGTGGGAGCAGCAGGGCCCCATCCCCCAGAAGTCTCACACTTGCAGAGGAAGAAGTAGACAAAGCCAACCTACCAGCTCTGCCCAGTGCTCCAGGAGCATAAGATTTCCACCCAGCTCGAAATAAATTCATATTTGCCTTTCTGACCAGGTCAGATCATCACATTTCTAACTTCACTGATCTGCAGGGCAATTCAGCTGGATGCACCAGTCTCTGACAGCTCCATCTTGGATTGGTGGTACCCTCACAACAGCCACGCCGAGATACCCACATCCCTCAGGCTTATGCAGTAGTTGTGTGCCCCAAGGCATTCCACCCTTCTGCCTGTGAGACCTGCCTTCAATGGGGATTGCTGCAGTAAGCACAGATTTATACTCAAGCAGAGATCCATCCATCTTGAGACTGCAGGGGTGCATGGGGCTGTGCTGTCAGAACCTGATGTTTGCACCCAGTTGAACTCCCAGCGTTAATGCTATCAGCGCAGCATGCCTGGCCAGTTCTCACCTGCTGCAGCATCAGGCCCCGGATGATGGAGCGAGCACACAGGATGAACGACAGCACACAAACAAGGATCACAGCCACATCGAAGAACACACGGAAGGTGTTGTCTCCTGGAAGAGGCAAAGGGTCCCCTCAGCAAGGTAATACTAGGGCAGCCAAATGGAGCCCAGTGCAGTGTGGGAGAGCCCCAGGGGAGGAGACACAGGTAAAGAGACAGGCTCCTCCGCAAGAGCTGAACACTCAAGGGTCAGAGAATGGAGCCAATGATGCCAGGAGCCCACATGCAGCAGCAGCCTAAAGTGCCCTGCAGAGAGCAGCCACCACCAGCAGTCTGCTAGACAGCAGGGTGGAGCCAGTCCTGCTCTGATCACAGAAGTGGCCCATGGTCTTTCAGGGACACCTGTCCTGAGTCACATCACCCAGAGACCACTCCAAAGGTACTAAACAGATCCCCCCACCTGCCCAGATTGTCCCCTGGCAGAAATCTATCTGAAGCCTTCTCACCCAGAGATGAGGTCACATTTACTGTGAAGGGGGGATGTCTAGAAAGGACAGGCCTTCATGGTGCACCGCAGTGCCAGTACAGCTGCACAAATGCTCATTTCAGCAGGGGTGGAAAGGGGCAGAGTGCCCCGTTCTGTCTGCCCTGCCCAACCCCTACCTCGGCCATAGACGCTGGGATCCTTGCACTCTTTAATGTCAGCTTTGTTGTCCAGGCTGATCTTCACCCGGCCACTGTGTGCCTTGTTGTCAAACGTGATCTGATGAGGACAGAGGAAGACTGCTACTTCACAGCACGGAAGGGCTGGGGTTGCCAGGAACCCCTCTGGCTAGATAGTCCTCAACAGCCCCACTTCACCTCTGAGCTCTCCCTCCCCTATTGCACTCCTCCTTTGCAGAGTTGCATGTGCCAGCAGCACTGACCCTGTGGCAGAGAACTCGCTCAGCTAGCCCCTTGGGCTCTTCTGGCTCTCTGGGAAGAGTCCTTGGCTCAGACTCATGAGCCAACTACAGTCCAGCATCTGCACTGGCTCTACAGGGCTACAGGAATGAGCAGCAGCAGACTTTGCATTCTCTAGAATCAGCACATGGCACTGTGGATCAAGGACAATTTTCACAATTGTTTTCCTGCTTGATACAACACCCACTGGAACTGCCCCAAGGCCAGAAACCTTGGCCTGCTCCCCAAGACCCTCCTCTTATGTCCTGGCAGTTCACCACCTTAGAGACACAGCCCAAGGAGCTACCCTCCGCTTGTGTGGTATTGCAGCCTGATTCATTGCCCTGGAGCACAGAGCTGGGAGGAATTCAGCCCAAGAGCAAGTGCTCCCCCAACAGCAAGAACAAGCAGGCTGTGGAGTGGCCTTCCCAGAAGGCAGTACAGTCTAACGGGGCTTGTCCATCTCTCGTGCTTCCCCCAGGCAGCTGCAGCCATTGTGGAGTGAGTACTGGCTATGTATTTCTCTGGCACAGGCGGGACGTGTGCAGTCCTGGCTGAGAGCTGGGCCAGGGTTACTCACAGTGATGGTGAAGGTGTAGCAATCCGGGATCTCATTATTAATGATCGTTTGGATGTTGATAGCCTTCAGTTTAAACTGGATGGTGACATTAATGAGCCTGTAGAAGACAGCAATCAGACTAATGCTCCAATGGGAGAGCTGTGCATCACAATAAGAAATTCTGCATCATACAGCCCCTTTCAGCCAAAATCTACACCTTAAGAAGCAGGTGTTGGGCCCAGTTTACAGATTGGGAAATGGTGATGCAGTGACTTAGCCGAAATCACTGAATCAGTGGCAGAGCCAGAAGCAGAAGCCAGAATTCTGACTCACTGCTCCATCCAATTAGTAACACTGCCTTGGTTTCTCATCAGGTGATGTCTTCACACTGCAGCAGTATGGCTTAAGCTAGTTAACCTAGTATAGCCCCAGCCAACATCCGAGGAGCAGTTCAAGCAACTAGCTTGAGCCACCACCCAGGCCATGGCAGTCATATAGTTATTTTTAGTGTGTCAGCTTGAGTAGTGTGCATGCACACCTCCCAGTGGCAGTGCAGAGGTACCTTAAAAGCAATGCTATGAATGTAACTGTGAAGTCCCCAGATTTAGCAGCATGTTGAATAAACGCTGGAGAAGTGGAATTTCTTGTAGACAATACAGCAACGACACCACTGAGCTAGTGTAATCCACACACCTAGTGGGTGTGGTTCACTGTTCCATGTAGTGGCACTTAGACCACTTACAGCAAGAGATAAGAATGAGTGAGCTCTACAGCCTAAGGTAAAAAGCAGTTGGCTTTATAGCTCAAACTGTAGAAACTCTGACACTAAGCTCCAAAAGTCCCAGGTTCAAATCCACCTGCAGGCGGTTACACTAGCACAGGCTGGGGCAGGCCCCAGAGCTCACACAAGAAGGGGAAGAGGGACCCATAAAGAACAAAAACAGCTTGTTCAGCATTTCAAAGCCCAGCTAGGCAGCCTGCCCATGTTCAGCAGCTCC